ATTACTGACTATTCTGGGCTTACATTTTCTAAGTGGCTATTTTAATTGAACTTCAGTGCTAAAACATGTAAGTGTTACTCTGTTTCCGGGGTTATACGCTCACTGGGAATCTGAAGACCAGGTTATTTAACTCAGGATCTGTACAGGCAGATTAAATTCCCACCCAGCCTGTCCCAATTCCCAGATTAATCTTGAATTAGGTAAGAAATAATAAACAAGCTCAGCACGACCTTGCTTCCTTAATCACATTCTACCCAAACTAAGTGGATTAGTCACACCTTCTCTTTGGTCTCTATAAGGACGACATGTGTATTTATATTCTCAACCAAAACATTTCCAGGCTTTCTCCTCAGTCTACTCCTCAACCCTAAGTCCACGTTCCACGCCTCTGTTCCAGCATTCCCTCCTGTAACTTTGACTTGGCTACCATACAGAAGGCCATGTGTTGCCTGCTGCCACTTTTCTGGGTTCTCAAGTCCCCAGGGTTTGCCCACTAGGGAAAAGAATTCTTAGATACCAACTGCCTGACTGGTTCAAACTGCCCCTCTGTCCAGATTTCTAGAATAATGTTTTGATCACTGAGGACTGTATCTGAGGCTCTCTGAGACAAAGCCTTCAACACAACAGTGGATTTGGCTAAGCACTGCTGGTCATGAGCCTGGTCCCCAGTGTCAGTCTCATCTTAGATGATGGTTCTAGTGTCAGGTCCTGATCCTTCCTTTCTGTCATGAACTAAGAAATAAACAAATGTCCTTCTCTGCACCCTACATTTTTAATTGGCTTCCTTATGGGGATTACTTTGAGTTTTGATGTCTTTGGTTTGGTAGCTGAACATATCAACTCTCCCTCCACTCCCTCCCCTGCTCCTGTCTCCCTCTCCCACCCCTAGCAATGCAGAACAACTATAGAAATCTTTCTCAGGGTGCTCTAGAATTTCTGAGAGAAGTAAAAGTGTGCTTAAAAAAGGGTCACATTTCATATTCTTCTTAAATTCCCTTTTTATATGCCCTGAAACAGTTAATCAACTCTTCCTTAGTTTGCAGTTCATGATAATGCCCCTAGAATGCCTCTATACCCCTACTCTCAGAGGTTGCAAAGTGAAAACTGCCCTGTTCTCTAACAGGGTCGCTAAACTCAAGAATCTGGTAGAAATAAGATAACTGATCCTCACTGTTTCTGTATTTCCCTCTAACAGAGCACAGGGAAGATATTTAAAGTGATTCCCCAAACAGTCCTGAATATCCTCTAGTTTCATAAAGATGATTACAATGAGGATTTATGAACTATATAATGTGCCTCTATTTTGGCTTAAATAAATGGCACTGAATTCTCTTACACTTAACAAGGTAGAAGTGGGCATCATCCAAGAAAAGGACCAACATTTTAAAATCTTGTAGGAGCTACATAATTTCCAGAGATTATTATTTTTTTAATGTTGTAGACTACTTCTACAGTTTCTTGGCCAGCTGGTCTTTTTTACTAAATATATGTATCTTTCCAAATATCAAAAGGTAGTTGAGCTTTGCATGTAAAAGTCATAATAGTAATAGCAAGAAGAAGAAGAAGGAGGAGGAGGAGGAGGAGGAGGAGGAAGAGGAAGAGGAAGAGGAAGAAGAAGAAGAAGAAGAAGAAGAAGAAGAAGAAGAAGAAGAAGAAGAAGAAGAAGAAGAAGAAGAAGAA